CATGTTAAAAGCTGACGATTCCTTTTCAAATGGTAACTAAATGCTATAAGGTCCCTGGGTAGGCTTAACCAATCCACTTCCTAGGCTTTCACATACGTCCTTCTACCTGTGCGCTTGCATAAAAACATCATAAACTTTTAAAAAAAGAACAGTACCTTGCTTTTTATTAACCGATAGCCTTCTAGGTGAATAACTGTCCCCATTGTAAAAGTATTTGTTTTTCTGAGATAACAATTCTTTCACATGTAGAATGATTTTCATAGATACAATTTTATTGGGCATAAACTATATTGTATACAGTGAATTCCCATGTACAAATCTCCAAGAGCTGGCATTACTTTAAAAAGTGTTTGAATATTCAGTTGCACAAGGGGATAGTATACTGATTGGTATTGTATACCATATAACATAATTAAATATTCTCTGTTTTAGGGAAAAAAAAGAAGATATTTAATCTTAATGTTAAAAAAAATAAAACATAAGAATTGGTTTAAATTTTCTGAATCACATTCATAGATCAATATCAAATAATCTTCAAATAGTAGATAATCCTCATCCTAAAACAGAAAGATAATGTATATTTTTTCTGCTCTATCTGAACAAGTTAACCATTAAATTTTTCACATCTGATGGTTTTTCTGAGGAAAGGAATTGCTGTCACAGACAGAAGAGTTCTGATGATAAGTTTAAATTAGTGTCTAAAAATGACTATTGTGTTTAAATCTCCATATTAAAATAAATTTCATTTTGTCACCTTCATTTCTTCTTAGGAGCTATTATTATGCTCACAAAGGATTTACAAGCTCCATCTATTGTAATTTTTCCCTTGACACTTTAAAAAATGTCCACAATTATGTGAAATGGATCATAATACAGAATAAGCGTATTAAACTTTTAAAGTATTTTATACTTAGAAAACTGAGTAAGACAATGTGAATTGTGTACAGAACCTGCAAGTTTTATATATCTTACCATAAATGTACACATATGTGTTCTTATAAATACCTTTTTATTGGTGTATATATGAACTGATTTTACAGTTGTGAAAACAAAGCCTTTTTAGTTGCAGATTTTGGACAGTTAACTGACCTAGACTCTGAAGGATTTATCTGGGCACTGTCTCTATACTCCTTAATTTTTAAAATGGTAGTGACTCTGATCTTGGAGAAGCCTTTTACATCAAAGATTACAAATCTACATTTATAATTACAAATCTATATTCATAATTCTAAAATCTAAAGTTTATTGTATGTGCTGGGTTATTGTTGATCAGAATATTAGGCTAGCCCAGAGCTGTCCAATAAAAAAATAATGTAAGGCACATATGGAATTTTAAATTTTCTAGGAGGTACATTAAAACAAGTAAAGAAACAAGTAAAATTAATTTTAATGATATATTTTACTTAACCCAAAATACTATTATTTCAACATGCAATAAATATTTTAAAATATTGAGATTTTACATCCTTTTTTATCACACTAAATCTTTGAAATCCCGTGTGTACTTTCAGCACATCTCAGTCTGGGCTAGCCACATTTCAAGGGCTAAAACAGCCATATATAATTAGTGACTACCTGTATTGGACAATGCAGAGCTAGCCCATCTCTTAACATTTAGAAAGAAGGCGGTCTAGCAGAATTAAAAACATTATTTTGCTCTGTTGCTTTTCTGTAATTCTACCAACAGTCTCTTCAAGGCAATTTAGGCTTTTACTATCAAGCATCTCAAACCTCTTCCAGTCTCTACCAATTATCTAACTCTGTAGCCACTTACGCATTTTTAGGTATTTGTTACAGCAGCACCCCACTTCTTGTTAAAAGAATTCCTTATTAGTTTTATAGGGCTGGCATACATACCAGTATACCACAAACTGGGTGGCTTATAAGAATAGAAAGTTCTTATCTTACAGTCCTGGATGCTTGGAGTCTAACTCTGGCCTTATTGATCCTTCTGAGGCTTTCGGGGAGAAACTAAGTACTGCATGCCTCTCTCCCAGCTCTGGTAGCTCCAAGCAGGCTCCAGTCACATAAGAGCAGGGCCCATTCTACTCCAGTATGACCTCATGTTAACCTGATAATATCTTCAAAGACCCTATTTCCATACAAGGCCTTGTTCACAGTTAGAGAGCTGAGGATTTCAACGTTATCTTTTTAAGGGACACAATTCAATCTATTTCTGTATTTGAAATGTCATCATTATCTCATACCATATTTCTGTGTGTGCCTGGATCTACTTCTGGACCTTCTTTTCCACTGATCTCACCGAATGCTGTATTGTTTATTAAGGAGCCCTGGTGGCACAGTGGTTAACATGCTTGGCTCTTAACCGAAAGGTCAGTGGTTCGAACCCACAAGCCACTCCACAGGAGAAAGATGTGGCAGTCTTTTTTTATTTACATATTTATATATGTAAATCTTCATAAAGATTTATATCCTTGGAAACCCTATGGGGCACTTCTGCTCTGTCCAATAGGGTCGCTGTGAGTCGGAATTGACTAGACAGCAATGAACCCAAGTTTTAGTTTTTTACCCATATTATGTGCCTGCACATGTTTTATGTATAGTAGCTTTTGGCCACTGCCCTACCCATACTTCATTACTATTCTTTTTCAGAATATTCCTGGATATTCCATTTATTTTTCCATGTGACCTTTATAATCAGCTTTTGTAATTTCTCAAAACACCTGCTAGTATTTCTATTGAGAGTATATTAAATCATTAAATGAATAGATCACTTTGACAATTATCCAAGAACCTATACCTTTCTACTTGTTTTGTGTGTGTGTGTATGTACCAAAAGTGTTTTAAAGTTTTATTCAGATAAGTCTGCATTTCCTTAAAGTGTATTCCTAGTGTTTTAAACATATTTTGGTTGCTATTTTAAATATAATATTTTATTTCAGTAAAGCTTCTGACTAGATGCTACTTTTATATATAAAAGCTATTGATTTTTTTTTTCTCAGCTAGTTTACTAAGTTCTCATTGACCATAACAGTTTTTCAGTTGATTCTTCTGGTTGACCAGTATACAATCTTATTATCTAAAACTAGTGATAATTTTAGTGTTTCTCTCCAGTGTTTATGTCTTATTTCTTCCTCTGTTTCATTTGTCTTGGTTGGTAAGCAATGGTTATTTTAATAGAGCTTTTTTTAGCCCAAAGGGAAAATAGTCTTGACTTTTTTCTACTTACATTCTTAAAAATAAATGTAATGAGAAACACTGTGGGAAAGTAAAGCATGACTATATCATGAGTGGGAAGCAGTCACCTTGTACAATGGGTTATTTAAGTTCTTCCGTGCCCATTTTCTCCTGTTTTCCCTATCGTTTGAACTTTAAAATCTTCATAAGTACTTGTCTCAAAAATGGTTGAGTAAATGAATGAATAAATGAGTGAATGATAAAGTGATTGTAAGATAAGCAAATTTGTTTCAACCTACTGAAACTTTTTATTGGATGCTCACTGTATGCTAGAAAAAAAAAAAAAAAAGAACAAAGTAGAGTCCTTATACTACCTGACTTCAAGACTTAAAGATATTAGCATCAAAATAGTCAAATAGCTCAATGGAATAGAGTAGAGAATCAAATTTGTTTCAACCTACTGAAACTTTTTATTGGATGCTCACTGTATGCTAGAAAAAAAAAAAAAAAAGAACAAAGTAGAGTCTCTACTCTTCAGGCATTCACATTCTACTGAGAGAAAGTAAACACATCACAATCAAGCAGCAGCTCCTGTACAAGATACAGAAGAATCACAGAAGTGTGTGATGAATCTTCCTGGGCAGTCAGAAGGAATTCTAGGGGAGTGACATCTGAGGCAGGCTTAGAGGGCTGCATAGCAGTCATGGGGCAGATAAAGAGATGAAGAAGGCACTCTAGGCTTATGGAACAAGAAAGGCATGGAGGTAGTTTGTTGTGATTAGGCATTTATTAGCGGTTGTTGTTTTGGAATATACACTGTGAGAGAAACAGGAGGAGAGAAGGAGAGACAGAAACCAGTGTATAAAGGCTATTTGTATTAGGCAGGAATTCTCAGTAGAAGTGGGCAGCCAACCTCTGAAGAGATCATAAAATCACCGAGAGAGGACTAGACTTTTCACCCCTACACTACTATCCCCCCCCTCACCCTGGGTGCTTATAACATTGAAAGGAATGTGCTTTATCTCTCAGGTGTGTTTGGGTGAAAGATTTGAGACCACTGGTTCAGGCAATATAAAACAAAGTATCTTAAGCAGGCTACAACCTCAGACTTGCATTTTAGAACATTCTCTTTAGTAACAAACTAAAGGGAACCTTGAAAGATGAGGGGAAAAGTGCAGACTGGGCTATGGAAGAAACCATTTTAAAAGCTATAAAATTGATAATGAGGCAAGATACTATAAATCTGAGCTAATAAGTAGAAGTGAAGATGACTCAAGGAATATATAGGAAGTAGAATTGATAAGGGAGTCCCTGGGTGATGCCAGTGATGAATGTACTTGGCAGATAACTGAAAGGTTGGAGGTTTGAGTCCACCCAGACAAGGCTCAGAAGAAAGGCCCAGCAATGTGCTTCTGAGAAATCAGCCATTATAAACCCTATGGACCACAGTTACACTTTGACACACATAGGGTTGTCATGAGTCAGAACTGACTCAGAAGCAACTGGTTTTAGAACTGATAAGACTTAGCAGATGACGCGATATGTGAGGTGCTAGAGAAGAAAGATATTGGCATTTTGACAAAAGGAATTATTTGGGAAGGAAGTTGATACTATTTACTAATACACTGTTAACCTCCCACATTAGCTGGTGATTTTGATCATCCCTGTTATCCATAACAAAATATTTGAGAGTTGCTGAGAAGATCAGAGTAATCATTTCCTGTGTTGTCACTGAAACATGAAGTATCAGTTTTCCTTGTCTAGTATTCCAATATTATTTATGCCACTATTATTCCCTAAGATGTATTATTAGTGTTAAACATATATTAATGCACTTTAATTTTTGTTTCCATGTTCTTCAGAATTCATTCAGAGGGCAGCCTTGTGGATGGCCCCGAAGCAAGCCTGATGGAACAAGATAGAACCAACCATGTTGAGGGCAACAGACTAAGCGCATTCCTGATACCATCTCCTTCTGCCATTTGCCAGACAGAACCTCTGGCTATAAAGCTCCAGAATGGAAGCCCATTAACTGAGAGACCTCATTCAGAAGTAAATGGGGACACCAAGTGGCAGTCTTTCAAAAGCTATTATGGAATACCCCCTATGAAAGGAAGCCAGAAGAGTCGTGTAAGTCCAGACTTTATACAAGAATGTAGGGGGTATTCCAAGAATTTGCAAAATGGAGGAATAAAACGCACAGTTAGTGAACCTTCTCTCTCTGGGCTCCATCAGAACAAGAAATTGAAACAAGACCAAAAGGCTAATGGAGAAAGAAAGAACTTCGGGGAAAGCCAACAAAGAAATCCAGGTGAAAGCAGCAGTCAACCAAATGTCTCCGACTTGAGTGATGAGAGAGAACCTGAGAGCCCTATAGCCCAAGAAAATGCAGTTAAAAATTTAGCCAGTTTTTCAACACATAACTGCAGTGGGTCTGAAAATCCAGGGCTTCAGATTCTGAATGAACAGGTGGAAAAAAATGTCAACTACCGTGACAAGAACATTGTATTACTTCTTAAAAACAAGACAGTGCTAATGCCTAATGGTGCTACAGTTTCTGCCTCTTCCATGGAAAACACACATGGTGAACTCCTGGAAAAAACACTGTCTCAATATTATCCAGATTGTGTTTCCATTGCGGTGCAGAAAACCACATCTCACATAAATGCCATTAACAGCCCGGCTACTGATGAGTTGTTGTGTGAGATCACTCACCCATCCCATACCTCAGGGCAGATCAATTCCCCACAGACCTCGAACTCTGAGCGGCCTCCAGCACCAGTCGCAGTGGTGACTGAGGCCTGTGACGCTGATAATGCCAGTAAACCACCTGCAATGCTCGGTACCTGTCCTTTTCAGAAACCAGAACAACTACAACCACAAAAATCAGTCTTTGAGATATGCCCATCTCCTGCAGAAAACAGTAACATCCAAGGAACCAAACAGCTAGAATCTGGTGAAGAATTCTGTTCAGGTTCCAGCAGCAATTTGCAAGCTCCTGGTGGCAGCTCTGAACGGTATTTAAAGCAAAATGAAATAAATGGTGCTTACTTCAAGCAATACTCAGTGTTCACTAAGGATTCCTTTTCTGCCACTACCACACCACCACCATCACAATTGCTTCTTTCTACCCCTCCTCCTCACCCACAGATTTCTCAGCTTCCTTCAGAAGGAAAAAGCACTCTGGATGATGGAGTTTTAGAAGAACACCATCAATACCCCAACCAAAGTAACACAGCTCTTTTAGGGGAAGTGAAAATACAGAATCACCCAGAGGCACCACAATCCCGGAGTCCTAACCCATCTACATATGCATCCAGTCCCTCTCTGGTGCTTCCAAAAAGGCCTCAGAATAATTGTGTTAACAGGAATGATATACGGACTCCAGGGACAATGGCTGTTCCACTGTGTTCTGAGAAAACAAGACAAATATCAGAACATCTCAAGCATAACTCACCAATTCTTGGTAGCAGTGCAGACCTACAGGGCCACTGCCAGCAGTTAATGGGACACAAAGAGCAAGAGATTCTAAAGGGTCAACACAAGGAACAAGCACAAGATCATGAGCTCTCAACACAGTCCTATCTGAAACCAGGGTGGATTGAATTGAAAGCCCCTCATTTTCATCAAGCAGAATCCAATCCAAAATACAAAGAGGCATCACTGCGGTCAATTCTTCTGTATAAATCCAACCCTTCCAATCAGATGACCTCCAAACAATACACTGGATATTCCAATGTGCGTGAGGGACTCCCAGGGCAAGCTTACGTCCAGAAAATAATGCAGCTGGAGCAGAGGTCACAAAGGTACCAAGCTGAGATCAATCAAGGGCAATCACAAGGTACAGTGGACCAGCACCTCCAGTTCCAAAAACCCTCACCCCAGGTGCATTTCTCCAAGACAGACCCTTCACCTGAAGCTCACATGCAGTCAGTGTGTGCCCCTAGCCTTCATTTTCAATCAAGACCAGATCCCCAAACTCAGAAACTCATGCCCACATCATTAAAACATCACTTGAGTCAACAGGCTTCAGAGACTGAGCCTTTCTCAAACTCACACCTTTTGCAGTATAAGCCTCATAAGCAGGCAGTACAAACACAGCCATCCCATAATTCACATCTCCCTCAAAACCAGCAACAACAGCAAACATTGCAAATGAGGAGTAAAGAACAAATACCGCAGACATTTTCACATCCCCAAAGCAATGGTGAGCAGAAAAGAGAAGGATCGTTCTTTAGCCAGATTAAAGTGGAAGAATACTTTCATGCTGAAAATCAGTCTGTGAAATCAAGGGAGTTCCAGACTCCTAACACCCAAGTGGGGCTGGAGCAAAGGCAGAATATGAACAGTAGAAATTCCCCTTATGGTCAGATCCTGAAGTCAAATGCAAGCAATGTACAGCTGTCTTGTGGGAACAATACACACCTAGTTCCAGAGAAGAAAGAACAGACCATAAATACTGAACTTTTTACAGGAAACAAGACTCAAAACTTGCACCACATGCAATATTTTCCAAATAATGTGACCCCAAAGCAGGATGTTTTTCACAGGTGCTTTCAAGAACAGGAGCAGAAGTCTCAACAAGCTTCAGTTCTACAGGGATATAAGAGTAGAAACCAAGATACATCTAGTCAACAAGCTGCACAGCTTGCTCAGCAAAGGTACTTGATGCAGAACCAAGCGAATGCTTACCCTGTGCCTGACCAGGGAGGAAGGCACATTCAGACCCCTCCCCACAAGGACGTCCAAAAGCATGCTGCTCTAAGGTGGCACCTCTTACAGAGGCAAGAACAGCAGCAAACACAACAACTGCAAACTGAGACTGGCCATAATCAGATGCACAGGCCCATTAAAGTGGAGCCCGGGTCCAAGCCCCATGCCTGTATGCGCCCCACGTCAGCACAGGCAGAAAACAAAATGTGGAAAAAAATAACTAAGCAAGAGATTCCACCTCAGAGCTGTGATAATGTGCAGCAAAAGAGCATCATTGAGACCATGGAGCAGCATTTGAAGCAGTTTCAGGTCAAATCATTATTTGACCATAAGGCTCCTCCACTCAGATCACAAAAGCAAGTAAAAGTTGAAATGTCAGGGCCAGTCACGGTGTTAACCAGACCAACTACTGCTGCAGAACTTGATAGTCACACCCCAGCTTTAGAGCAGCAAGCAACTCCTTCTTCAGAAAAGACACCAACCAAAAGAACAGCTGGTTCTGTTCTCAATAATTTTTTAGAGTCACCTTCCAAATTACTAGATACGCCTATAAAAAATTTATTGGATACACCTGTCAAGACTCAATATGATTTCCCATCATGCAGATGTGTAGGTAAGTGCCAGAAATGTATTGACACATGGTGTTTATCCAGAATTACAAAATTTATCTTCAGATGTGGGATTTTCTATTTTTTTTAAATCTTGAGTCTACCAGCAGCTTGTACAGGCTCACGAAAATCTGAAGCTTACTTTTTTCGTCTTTAAATTACAGATGATAGTGCTGTGCAAGAAAGAACTTCACTTACATACGATTTTTCTGAAAAGTTAAAACAGTTGTACATGTTAATTTTTCCCTCTGTTCAGACCCTTTAAAAATATAAATGTATCTGTTTCAGATTAATCAATCATTTAACTCTTTATGTCATCTCCTGGAGAGAAAGCCAGGCAGTAAGAAACATCCATTAAAATGAGAAGATAATGTCTATGTGCAAACTAATGAAGGAGCTTTTAATATTTTTTAAGTCAAGGTTGAATGTATTAGTAATGCTGCAATATTAATTTCTGTATAAGGGGAAATTACTATCTTCAGTTTTGGTGAATTGGGAGAAATTGTCATGCTGAAGCTCTGAATACTGATAAAGTTACCCTTTCGCCATTTATACACTTGAAATATTGTATCATTTATATTCATTTGATTCTACTTTTTTCTTTAAAGTTTCACCCTTTTGGTTAAAATGCGGTATGTCTTTAAAAAAAAAAGCACCTTTTGGTTAAAATTTTGGGTATGTGAAAAGTCTATAAGAATAGGAAAACATTTCTGCTGATGGATGCAGATACATGCGTGGGTGGAGAAGAACTTAATTACAGTTCTCACCTTGAATACCGTAGAAGAGATCTGAAAAAGCGTAAATGTTAAATTAGTGTGGCTAACGGTCTACCCAACACATGCTTTCCCTCTTGCAATGAGATACCCTACACTTCATAGAAGGGCTGAAGGGAGGATCCACACTGCCCCTCTCTGTGTGTGGTTAATACCAAGTTTCCTCACGTGGCTAAGGTGCCACACGTCATAGCTGTTATTAGGTAAGTTAGAATCCTCTTCATTTCCTGCTCTCATCCCCCTAACCCCATATTCTCACCTTCCCATCTTTGGCAGTTTGTAACAGCCTCTTTCTTTTACCTGACTCTCTCTCCAGTATTTTCTCTTGTCATAAAGTGCTCTAAAGTACATACAAATATGGGTCTGGATTGAATATCTTATTTTTAAAACAGAATAATTAAATGTTGTAGAAAAACAAGATGAGAAAAAGATCCTTAACAGTAAACTGAGCAATATCCTGGGGGTGGAATGGGGCAGCACATTTTATTTTTAATCTTTTAACATCTAAGTGGCAAGCAGGCATCTAGTTAGCTTTTTTTTTTTTTCAGTTTAAGAAATTGGGTTGTAGTTGATACTACATATAATACATTCTAATTCCCTCAGTGTCCTCTTTGTTTAGTTCTACTTATTTGGTTTACAGTAAACAATTTCTTATCCCGTATCTGACATGTAATTTAATATGTTTTTATCCAGCAGCCACCGTGTACATATACTTAATTATTTGGCACATTTTCTAAAAGATCAGTCCATCAATTTACTCATTTTAAAGAAAAAAAAAATTTAAAGTCACATTTAGGGCCCGTAATGTACACTTGGGGGATAAGCTTTGTGGATGTAGCCTTTATATTTAGTATAATTGAGGTCTAAAATAATAATCTTCTATTATCTCAACAGAGCAAATTATTGAAAAAGATGAAGGTCCTTTTTATACCCATCTAGGAGCAGGTCCTAATGTGGCAGCTATTAGAGAAATCATGGAAGAAAGGTAATTAACGCAAAGGCACAGGGCAGATTAACGTTTATCCTTTTGTATATGTCAGAATTTTTCCAGCCTTCACGCACAAAGCAGTAAACAATTGTAAATCAAGTAATTATTAGTAGGCTTAGCTCTTCCAGGGTTGCCAACACTACACACTGTGCTGTTCACTGGAGAGTCACAATATTTGACAGGACTAATAGCTAGCTGGCACCAGCTGCCCACTTTGAGGTGGATGCCAGAAAACCCAGGCACGAACAAGCAGCAGCCAGCCAGCCAGGCACAAGGGTGCTGGCACAGGCTGCAAAGAGTCGCCCCACTCTGGCTTTCCCACTTGATGATAAAGCGGCAAAGAGGGAAGGGGCGGGGGGAATACATAAGAAAGGAACCACTGAATCAATTCACCTAGAGTTGTAAATGAGTAGTTATCTCTAAGGGAGTTGTCCCTTCTTATACACAAAGAGCAAGGGTGATATGCTGAATAGAAACAAATTCTATTTATAGCTGATTTTTTTTTCTTTTTACTGTCAATCACAGGTATGCAAGTATTTACCTTGAATCTCCACAGTTACTCCTGCAGGTAGAAGACTCTCGTGAGAGAGATTAATCAATGCAGAGAGGGACTTTCATATAGGTATCTACAGCACTGAGCTGTTACTATAGTAGGGTGCCTTTTCTTGAAGCAGGTAGGCAGTGTTATGAAAATACACTAGAAGACATTCTAAGCAGTAAGGATATATTCAGTCTCAGTCTTGTTCCATTTCTAAATTCCTCATTTCTAATTTGGCACGTAGAAATTCACTAAATAATCAGCTAGTGGCCTGGCAAAAATTCTGAATTTCCCTAAGCGCCCTTTTTTTTAAATTAGCAAGTAGTAAGTAGTGCCTTGGTCATAAGGGAAAATAAAGCATTTCTAATAAAACCTACATATTAAACGTGACTGGATAGTAGTTATTTGTCAGCTCCCTTTAAAAAAAAAGATTCTTTGAAAAACAGTTGTAACTAAAATCTATTATGATTCCCCAAAATTCAACTAAATTTAGTAAAGGAAAAAAAGCAGTTAGTATATGTTTTAGAAGACTAAATTTAGCATACTAACTTCAAAAAGAAATTTATGCTTTGTGAAACTGTATAGCAATAAGCTTTCCCATTATTTTCACCCAACATATAATTTACAAAATAGTTCATTACAATAATCAGTGTATTTTGATACTGATGAAAAACAAGGTTTAAAGACTATTACCCAGTTGGCTTGGCTTTGATCTGTTTTAAAGAATAAATTAAACCATTCATTTCTCAGGATGTGGTCATAGAATAAAATTATGCTCAAACATTCAGTATTTTGGTTGTCGCTGGATTCACTTGCTAATTGTATATGTGTGTGTTTCTGTGGATTTCTTTTAAGGTTTGGACAGAAGGGTAAAGCTATTAGGATTGAAAGAGTCGTCTATACTGGTAAAGAAGGCAAAAGTTCTCAGGGATGTCCTATTGCTAAATGGGTAAGTGTGACTTGATAAGGACTCTGGTCTTCAATCTTGGGCACTTTGGTTTATTAATCCAACCCTGACGGGGTTACCCAGACCAAAGAGTCATTTATGCCACATGAGAGATGTATTGTTTATTTTATCATGTCTTATCTCTTGTGAAGAAGGCAGATTAGTTTTAAAATCATGAGCAAATTATTTAATGAAAAAGATTTTATGGTGAGTCAGAGGTTCATTCTAGTGCCTACTAAAAGTATACTTCTTCCTGGAATGTGAGGAAGTGGTCCTTAATTCTAATACTTGCAGTTACACTGTGATTTATGAAGACCTTTAACTTTATAAAGAAGACCTGCATGTCTTTCATCTAGCTCTGGCTTTAGTGTACGTGGCATTGCCCTCACCGTACTAAATATGATCTGCTAAACGTACAGGAATAATTCAGCATGTTTCTCTGCTCTGACACTAGGGTTAAGCCCCCATTTTATAGATGGATAGCCAAAGGCAAGGTGCAGGTCTTGGTAAATGTCACCCTAATTGTGTCCAAGACATGAAAAAGTATACATACATGAAATCAATGCTCTTGTCTGCTGCAAGTGACCTTTGTTTTGTTTTGGTTGGGTGGGGGGTGTTTTTGCATGGAATGGTGATTGGCACAGGTGGTTCGGAGAAGCTGCAGTGAGGAGAAGCTGCTGTGTTTGGTGCGGGAGCGAGCAGGCCACACCTGTGAGGCTGCAGTGATCGTGATTCTCATCCTGGTGTGGGAAGGAATCCCACTGTCCCTGGCTGACAGACTCTACTCGGAGCTCACGGAAACACTGAGGAAATTCGGTACTCTCACCAATCGTCGGTGTGCTCTGAATGAGGAGTAAGTGACGCCCAGGGGCTGGCCTCTCTCAGGCCACTGGTAGAAAGCCTAGTCTTTGGTTTAAGGGAAGAGAGTTGAACCTGAATTTATAAAACGGGGATCAAAAGGCATCACAGTCATGCATTAGGAAGTTATATTTGCTAACATGGATAATTTGCGGTGATGTTTTCATTAACAATTATTTTGTACACTGAGAAAGTGTAGCTATTAGTCCAGGAGCAGTTTCTGTACCCGCACGGCCTTAATTATACCATAAATGTGAAAATATTTGTGTGCGCACTTGCTACAAGGAGCGACTCTTCTGTGTGCTTGGCCGCCACAGTCATAGGATACCACATCTATGCTGTAGTAGCTGAAACAGAAAGTAAGTTTGGTGAGAAACTTTGGGATTCTCAGGTCAAAGACTTTAATATACAGGTAGCAAACAAAAATCCAAGGCCATTAGTATTAGCATTCTATAAGACTGATTTTTACTTCAGTTCAATCCAATTCATTACTTCCACAATAGTAACAAAAAGTGCTTCCATTTTTACTGCTGCTTAATAATAGAGAAATTAGAGGCTATGGATATGCATTAATCTCCAGGAATATAAAAATGGCATAGGAGGGTGGGGAAATGTGGTTGAATATATGTTGTGCACTCACGTGCTAGTATGTTTTTTGTGTTTTTTTAATCTTATCCACTTACAGGGAGTCCGAATCTTCACTTGTAGAAAACTTCGTTTTTATTTTTCTTAGGGAATCTGCTGTGCTATTCCTATTTAATATCAAAAGAATATAAGGAAATTCACAATGCTACACTGAAATCCTGCAGTAATTAATGGAATCCTACTTACTATGATTCTAAAATAATTTTAATTTTGCATTTCTTTCATTAGTCTCTTTTCTTCTACTTCTCCTTTCTCTAAAATAACAAAATAGTTTCCTGAGCTTATAGAAATAACTCACGATGGTCACTGCAACAACCCATTGCTACCCACATTTGTCCTTTTGCTAGCTGTAAGTGGTATGTTTTACCAACTTTAACACAGTTTAACACAGGTTCTATCTCTGGGTCATGGGGCAAATCAACCCTAATAATCTATTTGGAAAAGTAATTCTTCCTATATGAAAATGTGACTTCGTTTTCTATGGTAGTTAAGATGCAGAAATATCAAGGTGTGTATCTAACTATTGAAAATCCACTTTTACAAATGATAAGTTGGAAGGAGAAGTTGCTGCTTCATAAACTCATGGCTCCAACTTGTAATTAACTGCTTTAGATGTATGTTAAGACATTTAGACTATGCAAACTCACTGGAGCGTGTGGATCATAACAAATTATGGATAACATTTGATAAGAATGGGAATTCCAAAACACTTAATGTATTCATGCAGAACCTGTACATAGACCAAGAGGCAGTCGTTCGAGAAGAACAAGGGGATACTGCATGGTTTAAAATCAGGAAAGGTATGCGTCAGGGTTGTATCCTTTCATCATACCTGTTCAGTTTTATGCTAAGCAAATAATCTGAGAAGCTGAACTATGTGAAGGAGAACATGGCATCAGGATTGGAAGAAGACTCATTAACAACCTGCGTTATGCAGATGACACAACCCTCCTTGCTGAAAGTGAAGAGGACTTGAAGTACTTATTGATGAAGATCCAAGAATACAACCTTCACTATGAATTACACCTCAACATAAGGAAAACAAAAATCCTCACAACTGGACCAATAAGCAACAACATGATAAATGGAGAAAAGATTGAAGTTGTCAAGGATTTCATTTTACTTGAATCCATAGTCAAGAAATCAAACAACCTATTGCATAGTGCAAATCAGCTACAAAAGACCTCTTTAAAGTGTTAGAAAGCAAACGTGTCACTTTTGAGGACTAAGCTGCACCTGACCCAAGCCATAGTATTTTTAGCGGCCTTATATACATGCAAAAGCTGGATAATAAATAGGGAAGACTGAAGAAAAATTGATGCCTTTGAATTATACTGTTGGTGAAGAACATTAAATATACCGTGGACTGCCAGAAGAACAAACAAACCTGTCTTTGAAGAAGTACAGCCAGAATGCTCCGTAGAAGGGAGGATGGCGAGAGTTCGTTTCATGTACTTTGGACATGTTATCAGGAGGAAGCAGTCCCTGGAGAAGGACATCATGCTTGGTAGAGAGGCCACGAAAAAAAGGAGGGCCTTCAATGAGATGGATTGAAACAGTGGCTGCAACACTGGGCTCAAACATAGCAACGACTGTGTAGATGATGCAGGACCGGGCAGTGTTTCGTTCTGTTGTGCGTGGGGTCGCTATGAGTTAGAGCTAACTCATTGGCACCTAAAAAACAGCAACAGATGTAAAATACTATTCTATTTACCCTAACTTCCTTTGTTACTTCTGGAAAAAAAAATCTATGTAGGTGCCCTTAATTAGAAAGAAAAAAACTTCGGCACCTTGGGTTCATCATGTTGATGATAGAATTTCTTTTTCAGGAATTCGGGAACACTGCACTGTTTTTTAAAGCAGATTTCCTCTTTGTCTTGATATGAAGTTCTAAATCACTGAACTCTTTGTGAAAATGACAGTTGTTGTTTTATTTACATAAATTCAAGTTATAGTTCACATTCAAGATTACTGATTTAGTTTTCATTAATATATCTCTGATATTTTTCCCCTGGAAATTTTCTTTAATCTCTAATTAATGCCATTGCCTGAAATGGAATCTGACATATAGAAAGAACTTTTATTTAAGAAATTTCCTAAATTTTGTTATTTTGCGTTTGAAAGACATGAACCATGACTGAACCAGGGTGTAAGAAAAGTTATCATTTGTTTAACTGTCTGAATGGGAGGTGAGTACAAAACTATTAAAAGATGTGCTTCAAATGTTAAGATGTTTTAAAAATCAAAGCTGTATATTTTTTGCATATTTTGTCTAGAGTTTCAAGGTAAAAATGAGTGATTAATTGAGATGAAGTTGAAGCTTGGACCTACTCACACTGGAGGAATTCTCAAAAAAAAAAAAAACTTAAGAGCTACATAATTAGACACTTAACCAATGGCAGTATAGACTTCACTCAGATACAGCTTTTGAAGTTTTTCTGCTGCATATAAATTTTTTATTATATGTCTGTCAGAAGTTAAAATTATGGCTTTTTGTCAAGAACAGAGGGTAATCTCAGACTGGGGCTGTAACTCAGAATTTAACATTTAAAGCCGTGTGAACCTCCTTAGAAATCCCTGTGCCCTGATGCATCATAACCACTCTCTCCGAGTCCAGAAAGGAACTGTGAGAGCATCTTTCATAGGGAAAGTAAAAAAAAACCCTGATTTTTACGTTTACTTTAAGCCAAACCAGCTGTTTCCCTTTTAAAAATTTCCCTTTGAGATTTCCATTTCATGACTAGGCCTAACCAATATTTTTTTTGGCAAGTCAGAGTTGTGGGAGTGTATCTGTCATCATAGGGAAGCCAAAGCAAGAAATGCCTTCTGCCATGGTGGGTGATGTTAAACTTTTTAAGAAATATTATATTATAAAAATTTTCAAATATACACAAAAGGAGAGAGTACAATATAATGAATCCCCGTGGATTCAGCACGCAGCTACAACCTTTATGAACAATTTACCAATATTGTTTCATATATTCCCCTGCCAATCCCTATTCCCACTCCTACCTCTAGGAGTGTTTCAAAGCAAAGCACAGTTACCTTATGATCTCACCTGTAAATTTGGTATGTACCCCTAACAGATAAGACTTTTTACAAAACCTAGCCACAGTGTCATTATCACACATCACGAAGTTGACAATGATTCCTTAATATTATTTAATATTCAGACCACGTTCAAATTCCCTGATTGGATTCTATTTCAAAAAAACAAAAAAACAACCAAATGTAAAAAACTGTTTTTGGAAAAGAAAGCCCACAGCTTGCATTTGATTGAGGCTTTTGAAGTCACAGTTTCATGCATACTGTCTTGCCATAATTATTAACAGAACTTCCTTTCACTTTCAAAAGTGTCCCAGTCTGGAAGATAAATTATATGAATCCACCCATAAACCCAAACCAGTTGCCGTCAAGTTGATTCCAACTCATAGCAACCCTGTGAAACAGAAGAGAACTGCCCCATACGGTTTCCAAGGAGCAGCTGATGGATTCAAACTGCCAACCTTCTGTGTAGCAGCCTAGCTCTTAACCACCAGGGCTCCATATGATCCATCCACAAGTCTCTTTTAATTTATAATAGTTCCCCCTCCCTTTTCTAAGAATTCATTTGTTAAAGAAAAAAAAAAAAAAAAAACCTGTATGATATGCTCTGTAAAATTTCCCACATTCTGAATTTGGCTGATTGCATCCTTGTTTTGCTTAACTTGTTCCTCTATCCCCAGTAGCTTTTGTACATTGATGGTTAGAGACCTAATAAATTTCAAGTTTTATGTATGTATTGGCAGAAATGCTCCATAGGTAATGTTGTAATCTTCTTAACAGTTCATACACATCAGCAGGCACATAATGTCTGCTTTGTCCCATTTTTAGTGATGTTAAGAGTGTTCAGTATGTCTAGGACTTGTCAGCTTGATCCATCAATCATAAAGTTCCCCATCAAATCATAAAGTTCCCCATCAAATTTTCACATGACGACTTAGAATACATTGACGATCACTGCCTGTTTTCATTATTTTGTTAGAGTTTCAAAATGGTAATTTTTTTATGTTGTATTAATTTATCTTGTGTAAATTAAAATTAATTTATTTTGCTCATACTTCTGTACTTGCATAAATTTGAATATAATCAAATTTTCAGTTTACATTATTTTTTACAGTTAGAAGTCCAAATGATAAAGATTAAGCATGTTATTTTAAAATTTGTTACACTGATGAACATTTTAATTATATTCTACTAATTCTAACAATATTTGACAGACCTTTATAGAAATAAAAATGATTATTAACAGCTATTTCATTTAATAAATCAACTTGAACTTACTCCACACTGGTATGCAGGATTTTTTAAAATTGAGATGTAAGTCACATACTATAAAGTTGACCCTTTAAAGTGTATAGTTTACTAGTTTTTAGTATAGTCACAGAATTGTGCAACCATAACCACCGTCTAATTCCAGAACATTATTATCAGCCCAAAGAGAAATCCCATACCCATTAGCAGTCACTCCCCCATTTTCCCCTCCCCTAGTCCCTGACAAACACTGACTGGACTTTCTGTCTTTCTGAATTTGTCTGTTTTGAGCATTTCACACTGACAGAATTGTACAATATGTGGCCTTTTCTGTCTTCTGTTACTTAGTTTTCAAGGTTCATCTGTGTTGTAACATCAATCAACACTTCATTTTTATGTCTGAATAATATTCCATTGTATGGATATATCTGTGTGTATATATATATAATTGCATATATATTATGATTTTTTAGGATTTTCGGTATACTGGATCATGTCATGTGTGAAGAGAGATAATTTTATTCTTTCTTTCCAATCTGGATGACTTTATTTCTCTTTCCTGCCTAAACTGTCCTGCTAGAACCTTCATAAAATGTTGAACAGAACTGGCAAGAGTATACATTCTTGCCATGTTCCTAATCTTAGAAAGAAAACATTCAGTCTTGCACCATTAAGAATGATATTAGCTGTGCATTTTTCATAGATGCTCTTTATCAGATTGGAGAAGTTTCCTTATACAGTTTTTTTTTTATTTTATTTTTTCATGAAAAGGTGTTAGGTTTTTATCAGATGCTTTCTCTGCATCTAATGAGACAGATGACCCTGGGTTGCTTTTTTTTTTCCTTCTTTTTTTACTCTATTAATAAGCTGTATTACCTTGACTGATTTTCATATGTTAAACCAACATTGCATTCCTGAGATAAATCCCACTTGGTCATCGTATATAATCCTTCTTCTATGTTGGAAACCCTGGTGGCACAGTGGTTAAGAGTTCACCTGCTAACCAACAGGTCGGCAGTTCGAATCCACCAGGCACTCCCTGGAAACCCTACAGGGCAGTTCCACTCTGTCCTATAGGGTCACTATGAGTTGGAATCGAGTCATAGTGTCATAGTCAATTCTGACTCATAGCAACCCTACAGGACAGAGTGGAACTGCCCTAGAGGGTTTCCAAGGAGTGGCTGGTGGATTCAAACTGCCAACCTTTTGGTTAGCAGCCAAGCTCTTAACTGCTGCACCATCAGGGCTCTGTCAGGGCAATACTAGCCTCATAAAATGAGCTGGACCTCATATCACCAAGAAAGCAGTGCCAGGAGCAGAGCACGTCCTCTGGGCTTGGGGTTCCTGCATGGAGAAGCCCCTAGACCAAGGGAAGATTTGTGTATTTCTAGGACTTTGTCTAATTCATCTAGCTTATCTAATTTTTTGGCAGATACTTGTTCTTAGTATTCCCTTATAATCATCTTTATTTCTGTAAAGTTGATACTAAGGTTTTCTGTTTCATTTTTGATTTTAAGAAATTTGAGTATTCTCTCCTTTTTTCTTGGTCAGTGTCTTAGTTACCTAGTGCTGCAAATACCACAAGCAGATGACTTTAAAGAACTGACATTTATTTTCTCACAGTTCTGGAGGTTAAAATTCCAAATCAGAGTCTCGGCCATGCCAATTCCTTCTGTGGGCCTCTCTCCTAGTTTCTGGTGACTGCCAGCAATCCTTGGTGTTCCTTTGCTTGTAGATGATACTCACACTGGCATATGTTCCATGCATAACAGTTAGTCTAGCTAAAGTTTTATTAATTTTGTTCATCTTTCAAAGAACCAACTTTTGGTTTTGTTTACTTTATTGTTTTCCTTTATCTGTCTCATTCATTTACACTCTAACCTTTATTATTTCTTTTCTTCTGCTTACTTTAGTTTGCTCTTTTTCTTATGCTTTCCTAAATTGGAAGGTTTATTGATTAGAGCTCTTTTTTCCTTTTCTAATACAAACATTTACAGCTATCAATTTCCTTCTAAACACCATTTTTTTTTACATCCCGTAAGTTTTGGTTTGGTGTGTTTTCATTTTCTTTCACCTTAAAATATTTTCTAATTGCCTGTATGTTTCTTTAACCCACTGATTTTTTATAAATGTGTAGTTTAATTCCCACATATTTAAAGAATTTACCAAATTTACTTCTATTACTCATTTCTAATTTCATTCCTTGACATTGGAAGACATACTTTGTATTATTTCTTTTAAATTTATTGACATTTGGCCAAACATATGGTCTATCCTGGAGAATGTTCTGTGTACACATGAGAAGAATGTGTATTTTCCTCTTGTTGGGTGGAGTGTTCTATACATGCCTGTTAGGACTAGTTGGTTTACAGTGTATTTCACATCTTCTATTTCCTCACTGATCCTCTGTCTGGGTGTTCTATTCATTATCGAAAGTGGGATATTGAAGTCTCAAACTATTGTTGAACTGTCTATTTCTCCCTTCAATTCTGTCCGTTTTGCCACGTGTATTTTGTGGAGCTCGGTTGTTAGGTGTTTGTATGTTTATAATTGTTATATCTTCTTGATGGATTGACACTTTTATCATTATAAAATATTCTTCTTTGTTTCCAGTAACAGTTTTGTTTTAAAGTCTATTTTGTCTAATATTACTCTAGCCACTCCACCCTTTTTGATTATTGTATTTACGACATATCTTTTTCTATCCTTTTACCTTTAGCCTATTTGCATCTTTGAATCCAAAGTGCTTCTTTTATACACAGAATGTAGTTGGATTATTTTTTTTGTACATTATTCCAATCTCTGCTCTTTAATTGGAGTGTTTATTCCATTTATATTAATGTAATTACTTCTAAGGTAGGGTTTACAGCTTCCATTTTGCTGCTTGTTTTCTAAGTATCTTTTTGTGCCTTTTTGTTTGTTTCTCTATTTCTCTGTTACTGCCTTCTTCTGTGCTAAACAGGTATTTTCTAGTGCACCATTTTTACCATTCTCTTTTTTCTAAGTGGTTTCCCTGGGGATTACAATTAGCATTCCAATTTAAAGTGATCTAGTTCAGATTAATACCAATTTAATTACAGTACTATACAAAAAAATTTGCTATGACATAACTCCGTTTACCCCCTCTCCTTTGTGCTGTTATCATCATACAAATTACATCTTTATACACTGTATGCCTAGCAACACAAATTTCTAATTATTGCTTTATGCAGTTTTCTTTTTAATCAGATAGAAGACAAAAGAATTACAAACCAACAAACAAAATATACATATACTCTATTTTATAAATTATTTACCTTTGTAGTTACCTTTACTAGTGCTCATTATGTCTTCATGTAGGTTTGAGTTACTCTTTAGTGTTCTTTCCTGAAGGACTCCCTTTATTATTTCTTAAGGCAGGTCTGAAAGCAATGTTTTTTAAAAAACATAAAAGAAAATAATTCTAGAAATGTCTTAATGTAGCATTTGTTTTTGAAGAACAGTTTTTGCAGGATATAGAATTCTTGGTTGACAATCTTTTTCTTTTAATACTTTGAATGTGTCTTCCTATTTCCATTTGGCCTCCATGGTTTCTGATGAGTCATCTGCTGTTCATCTTAGTGACAACCCTGGTATGTGATCAGTCACTTCCCTTTTTGCAGCTGTCAAGATTCTGTCTTTGTCCTTCAACAGTTTGATTATAATGTGTCTAGGTATGGATCTTTTTGACTTTATGCTAACTGGAGTTCATTAAGTTTCCTGGATGTGCAGATTCATATTTTTCATCAAATTTGAGAAGATTTTAACCATTATTTCTTCAAATATTCTTTTGTCCCTTACTCTCCTTTCCTGGGAATCCCATTGTGCATACACTAGAATGCTTAATCATGTCCTGCAGGTCTCTCAGACTCTTTTCATTTTTCTTATTTACTTATTTTTCTTGTTTCTCAGGCTGGATAATCTCAATTGATGCTTGCTTGCTTCCTTCCTTCCTTTGTCCTGCTCAAATCTGCTGCTGAACTCCTTTAATGACTTTTTCATTTCAGTTATTATACTTTTCAACTCCAGAATGATTACTGTTTCTTTATTATAACTTCTATCTCTTTATAGATATTCTCTATTTGATGAGACATTATTCTCATACTTTAGATTTTAGACATGGTTTCCTTCATTTATTTGAACATATTTAAAATAGCTGACTCGGTCTTTGTTTATTAACTCTAACACCTGTCTATTAAGTTTAACATCTGGGCTTCTATGCTGATATAAGTTACTCTTACAGGACAGTACTTGGAAAGAAGTGTGAGAGGAGCTTCTAGTGTACTAGTAAATGTTTCATTTCTTGGTTTGGGTGCTAGTCACTTAGGTGTGTTCCATTTGTGAATATGTATTAAGCTGTATAATTATGTGTACTTTCCTATATGTGATTATACTGCAATAAAACATTATTTTAAGAAAAAACTGTATTTTAAAGTCAATTGAAATAGCTCTTTTCTCCATGTGGTTATGCCACATATGGATACAGAGGCAGATCAGACTTCTTTTCAAACTCACTTTGCACTAATTGTTGCACGCAGACACTCAGAATATGAGGCTGGCTGCCAAGATAATTCTGTTCATACCCATGAATGTGGTCCTTTGATTCCTCAGGAGAACCTGTGCCTGTCAGGGGCTGGACCCAGAGACCTGCGGTGCCTCTTTTTCTTTTGGTTGTTCATGGAGCATGTACTACAACGGATGTAAGTTTGCCAGAAGCAAGATCCCAAGGAAATTTAAACTGCTTGGGGATGACCCAAAAGAGGTTAGTTTACTTCCTGTTATATAATATCTGTATTTTTCATAGAGAATTGATGAGAATAGATAAAATTAACAATATGACATATTCTGTTAAGCTCCCATTAACAGAGGGCAATTTAATCTCATAGATTAATCAACCAAATTTTGGCTAAACTATAGACACGTACTATATTATAATTTTGTAAAAAGTTCACATAATAATAACTTTGTTATACCAAAGTAATAAAGTTTAATCAGCATAAATTCTTCCTACCTGTGACCTCTTCTGTTTATTTAATGTTAATATATGCCATACTATAGCTCTGAGAATTTTATCCATATTTGAATCATCCAATAATTTCTAGTTGTTCTAAGACAGATTATTTCAGCTATTTGAAATGTTATTTTAATAAACATTTTTTAAATATAGAATTTGGAAATAGACTAATTAAGCCAAGCAAATCCTTTCAACAGCTCATCTTCCTTGGCAGCTAACTGGACAGACAGTAGAGAATGTGACCTCTTTAAGACCACATGGTTTCACTCTTCTAACCCAACAGCCAGCATAGACATATACTTATAAAATGCCAAATATCTGCATACTGGTTGCCGTCGAGTCAATTCCAGCTCATAGCAAACCTACAGGACAAGAGTAGAACTGCCCCATAAGAAGCGGCTGGTGGATTCTAACTGCCAGCCTTTAGATTTGCAGCTGAGCTCTTAACCACTGTACCACCAGGGCTCCAAAATATCTGCATACAGAGTAGAAAATCAGTTAATCTTATGAAAATACCAAATAGCTAGATAGTCGATAGTACACAAAAATAGGTGATAGTGTATACTTTTCACTTAGAAATAGTCATGTTTTTAAGATGCTTTAGTTAATAAGAAAGGCATTAAATATTGTGCTTTGGATCCAACATATGGGGAAAAATATTACTGATATAATAGATTTAGAATTTAATATGTAGAATTATTGATTTTACGTAGGAAGAAAAACTGGAGTCTCATTTGCAAAACCTGTCCACTCTTATGGCACCAACATACAAGAAACTTGCACCTGATGCATATAATAATCAGGTAAGTGGAAGTATTTATTGGCAATGATTGGAACTATTATTTATTTATGATTCATGATCTACTTATTTCCAAATGAATTTTGAAACAATAATTTTCCTGACTTTTTCTCTTCTTCAGTGTTGAAGCTATTGCAACGTTCTGTTTCTTCATATAAAAATTGCACCATCCAAAAGAGCATATTTTTGGTATTTTTATCCATAAAGATAATGAGATTTTAAGACTCACAAGCTGTTCTATCTACTAATCTTGTTCTCATATGGATAATTTTGTCTCTGTAAGCAGTCTTTGGTGTGGTCATTAATTTGAACTTAAACCATAGGTTCTAACCATCTATTAACCATTTTCATAGGATGTCCATAATTGAAAAGCTTTGAGCGTAAGACATTGTAAGTACACACACGTGTCCATATATGTCATATTTTGCTAGATTCTCTTCTTTTGCTTGGCTTTGGCTCCATGAAACAAGCACACAAAACATTTTTTTTTCTTCCCCTATCTTACATGTATTCTAAGTTATACCTACTTCAAAAAGCTAGGTAATTTTATCAGAAATTGCTCATGGAAGGAAGAAGACTGTAAAGTCTTCACTCTTTCAGTGACATCAACAACAAGCATCAAGTGAAAACCTATTACTAACCAGAGACTGTGTTTAGTCACCAGGGTCATATAGATGAAGAAGGCAGGTTCTCTGTCTTTAAGGAGTTCCTTGTTTAGAGAAAAAATAGACAGTAAAATAACAATTACAGAATAAAAAGATATCTGCTACGATAGAGGTATGTGCACATTTCTGAAGGACAAAAGGGATTATCCTGAGGGTATAGTAGAAAGCTAAGGGCATCAGTGGCTTTGGATGCCGTACAAAAATCTTTGAACATTATCCTGTAGGTAAGAAGGCTACCACTGGGTGTTTTAAGTGTGTGTTTGAGTGGAGGAGGTGAAGTGGTTTAATCTGTATTTTAAAAAGGTCACTCAGCAAACCAAATGAAATATAACCTACATATAATCTTGTATCGGTGTAAGATTAAATTAGAGAAGAATGAAGCTATTACAGTCATTGGACAAGAGATGTTAAAGTCCTAAACTAAAGAAACAGCAATAGTGATGGAGAAAAGGAAGTAAGTTTATGAAATATTTGCGGTGAAACTTATAAAACTTGGCAACAAATCAGAGGTGAATATAAGCAAAAGAGAGAATTCAAAGATATGCCCAATTCTCTCTTTAATACATGGTTCTATTAACTGGGAGAAAGCAAGTTTTGGGTTTTTGTTTGTTTGTTTTTTGAGGGGCTTGGGAGATGATGAATTTTATTTGGGATGTGTTGGGATTGAGATGGTTCTAGAATAATTAGATGGAGAATCAGGAAAAATTCAGACAGCACTATAGACTTGGGAATAATCAAAACGCAGGAAGTATTTGAAGTTGAATACATAGGAGCAAATGCAATTTTTCAGAGTGGACGTTATAAAAAGGAGAAGAGGCTGATGATGGGATTCTGAAGTACATCAACATTTTAGGGTTGGGTGGAGTAAGAGAAGCCAGTGAAGTAAATGCTGAGAGTAGGAATCAATGGGGTAGGAGAAAGATTTAAGGGAAAGAGGGAGACTGATAGAGGGAGGAATGATCTGGAGGTTATGGGAGGGTATCCAGAGATAGTACACAGTAGGAATAGGGATCAGGAGGTGTGAAGGCTGGTAATCTGGCAAACACTGTCATTTACTTGACAACATTAAAGACTCCAATGGGATTAGATTAGTTTACACAGCAGAGATAGACAACAGACCAATCCTAAATCATTATTTAGCTATTCTTTTCCATTGTGGACTTTTAACACTTTTCTCTCTCTCTTTTCTTTCTTTTCTCCTTTGAGGGATCCACCAGTTGCCACTAGCTGATTTTGACTCATGATTACCCCATGTGTGTCAGAGTAAAACTGTGCTCCATAGGGTTTTCAATGGCTGCTTTTTTAGAAGTAAATCACCAGGCCTTTTTTCTGAGGCACCTCGGAGTAGACTCAAACTTCCAACCTCTTGGTTAGCAACCAAACGTGTTAACCATTTGCACCACCTAGGGACTCCTATTGAGAAGACTAATTTAATTATAGTCAGTTTGTAAGTTGTTTAATTTCATAAATTAAGGTTTTAGAAATGTGTGTGAATGTCTGTGAAAATTATTTTAAATTCTACTAAAATTAGTGAGATTAATAGTTATTTTACAATCTTACCTATTTTAGTCAGTATTTCAGAAAAGTATAAAGAATGCTTTAGTATTGTTGTAAAGGTTTAATTCTGGAATAAACTAAGATATGAAAAGAAGAAAATGAACTGAGTCTATGTTGCTAGATTTAAAGTTTGGCCATTGTCTGTTAAATGAATTTTTTAATAGGTATTTTTTATCAAAGGAGTCCTTCAGTGGTATAAATGGTTAATGCTCTGAGCTACTAACCAAAAGTTTGGAGGTTCGACAATACTGGGGAAGCCAGCACAACTTGAACAAGGAAAGGTCATGGAAGCTCCATAGACACATCCTAACCCCAAGGGACCGAATTGCTGGGCGGAGGGCTGTGGGGACCATGGTCTCGGGGAACATCTAGCTCAACTGGCATAACACAGTTTATAAAGACAGTGTTCTACATTCTACCTTGGTGAGTAGCGTCTGGGATCTTAAAAGCCTGTCAGCAGCCATCTAAGATACTCCACTGTCTCACCCCTTTGGGAGCAAGGAAGAATGAAGAGAACAGGATACAAGGAAAAAGATTAGTCCAAAGGACTAATGGACCACAGCTACCAAGGGCTCCACCAGACTGAGTTCCGTACAGCTAGATGCTGCCCGGCTATCACCACTGACTGCTCTGACCGGGATCACAACAGAGGGTTCTGGACAGAGCTGGAGAAGGATGTAGAACAAAGTTCTAACACACACAAAAAGACCAGATTTACTGGCCTGAAAGAGACTGGAGAAACCCCGAGAGTATGGCCCCCAGATACCCTTTTAGCTCAGTGGTGAAGTCACTCCTGAAGTTCACTGTTCAGTCGGGGACTGGACAGCCCCATAAAACAAAATGGGACTAATGAGGCACAGCAGTCAAGGGACAAGTACTAGAAGGCAGGAGGGGACAGGAAAGCTGGTGATAGGGAATCCAAGGTTGAGTAAGGACAGTGTTGATGTACTGTAAGGTTGTTAACCGTTGTCATAGGGCAACGTGTACTAGCTGTTTAATGAGAAACTATTTTGTTCTGTAAACCTCATCTAAAGTGAGAATAGTAGCACAACTGGAAGAACGTAATTGATGTCACTGAATTGTGCATGTAGAAGTTTATGAAATGGTGTATCTTTGGCTATGTATATTTTCACCAAAAAAAAAAAAGATCCTCCAAGGTCGAGAAGAGAGAGTGTTGACATGCTGTGGGGTTGTTAACCAGTGTCATAAAACAATATGTGTACTGTTTAATGAGAAACTATTTGTTCTATAAACCTTCACCTAAAGTACAGTTAAAAAAAAAAAAAAAAGTTTGGAGGTTCGAGAAGCACCTCAGAAGAAAAAGCCCGGCAGTCTACTTCCAAATAATCAGCCATTGAAACTCCACAGAGCACAGCTGTACTCTGACACACAGGGGCTGCCATGACTCAACCGACTCAGAGGCAACGGTTGTTTTTTTGTTTATCGGTGGCATTAGTTGAGGTGGCGCAGTGGTTAAGAGCTCAGGCTGCTATCTAAAAGGTCAGCAGTTTGAACCCACCAGCTGCTCCTTGGAAACCCTGCTGGGGCAGTTCTACTCTGTCCTATAGGGTTGCTATGAATTGGAATTGACTCAATGGCAACATGTTTGGTTTGGTTTTAGTTGGGGAAAGGGACAAAACAACAAAACGTTGCTTTTCTTTTTATTCCTTTGACTCCTATTATAGACTGTCTAGGTTTTCTCATTTTTAATACCCCTCCTTCATGCCTATCCAGTGGACATATATCTGCTCTGATATTCTTCTATGGCTGCCTTACTGTTAAACTGTAGGCCTGAACTAGAAGATTCAAATCTCAAAATTATGTGCTATCCATGATATGTAGTGATGACATTTTAGACTGTTCAAGAGAACTTTCTATGATGATGGAAACGTTCTATGTCTATGCTGTTCAACATGGTAGCCTCTAGTCACGTGTGGTTACTGAGCACTTGATATATGCCTAGCGCAAATGAGCTAATGAATTTATACTTTTTAAATATTAATTTAAATTTAAATAGCCTTATTTTGGTTACCATACTGGACAACACAACTTTAAACCATCAGAAAGCCATGCATTTATAATTGTCTTCCAGCCATTGGGATGGATTTCCAGTAATCCATTTACAAACTGCTGCATAATATTTTTTGTGAGGTGGTATAAGTCTTAACAACAGACTGGATTTTGAGTACATTTGTATTCAAGAAACAGAATGAAGTTAACTAGACCACAAAACCAAAAAAAAACAAAAAACAAACCCACTGCCATCGAGTTGATTCCAACTCATAGTGACCCTACAGGACAGAACAGAACCACCCCATAGGGTTTTCAAGGCTGTAAATCTTCACGGAAGCAGGCTGCCACTTCTTTCTCCTGCGGAGCGGCTGATGGGTTTGAACCACCGAACTTTTGGTTAGCAGCCAGGCACTTTAACCACTGTACCACCAGGGCTCCCTAACTAGACCACAACATGGACTAAATAGTCACAAACCACACCACCATGAAACAGATTTGTGTAAAGCTAGATATAAAAATGTGCTATGGAACCCAGTGGTCAATAATATACAAGCCATCAAAAATTTTATCATGTTGGGAGTTCAGCTTCTAGTCAACATGATAAAGTTTTTGATGGCATAACAGGGACTAGCTTATGACAGAACAACAGGGACTAGATTTACCTTTAACAAGTAAAAAAAAAAAAATGGACAGGATCTCTAAAGCAATGGTTTTTAGACTTGGACAAAAAGCAGCACAAGACAGTGACATCAGAGAGAAGGTAAATAAA